ACTATATCCCTCTGCCACCAGTTCTTCTCTTGCTTTTATTTTACATTCCCCTTGACAAAATTCGATAAGTTAGCCATTTGTGTTTGCTATTATTTCTTGTCTATAAAATGCTTCTTGCACTGAGAGCCACAAAGGTGTTTTCAGGCACAACCTGGGTCTGCACCTATTCCATATTCTCAATATGGCGCATCTAACATAATGATTTTTAAAATTCGCATTAACCTTAACTTTGTCGTACCACAAATATCCATGGCACCCAAATCTCAGATCGTGTCTTTCTGACTCCAAGAACTTTCTATTTCTCAGCAACACCCACTCTTTCATCCAAATCAAACAGCAAGCTGCAAAATACAATTTCAAATCAAGTAGATCTAATCCTCCTCTTTCCTATGCATCTTGTAATAACACCTTATATTTAACTCATGTTTTTTCCCCTGCCACACAGATTTAGATGTATCATTCTGCCACGGTTTAAATGGTGCCACTGCTTAAATGGTGCATAATAAAACAAGTATTGTCTGAAACAAAAACACCATTCTAGGCAAGACATTCATTTTTATCACAGAAATTCTCCCTAACAATGACAATTGTAGTTTCTCCCATCTTAACATGTCTTTTTTAACTTCATTCCATGTTTTAACATAGTTATTCTGAAATAATATACAGTTCATATTTGTCATAGTGATATTCAGATATTTTACCTTCTTAATCTTAAAATGCATTTTATTCATCAATTCTGTTTGATCTTCTATTTTCATATTTTTGTTAACATCTTCGTCTTCTGCTTATTCATCTTGAAACTTGCTAATGCACCAAATTCTTTCAATTTGCCCATTAATGTTTCAATTCCCTTTAAAGAATCTTCCAAAACCAACACCAAATCATCTACAAAAGCCCTTAACTTATAAGTTTCTTTTTTAATCTTTACCCCCACAATCCTCTCATCTTGTCTTAGATTTCTAATCGGTATTTCATGAACCAAAATATACAAGAGAAGAGACAGTGGGCATCTTTCTTTTTTGTATCTCACAGGGTCTTGTTAGATCTCCATTAACAATTATTTGTGCTTTCTGTGAAGTGTAAATCAATCTTACCCATTTTATAATGTTCTCTCCAAAATTTGTATCTTCCAAAACTTTGAACAAGAAAGCCCAATTCAGATAGTCAAAGACCTTCTCTGCATCTTAGAAAATCAATGCGGCTTGCTTTTCATTATGTTGCTCCAAATATTCCAAGAAGTCCAACACATTTCTAACATTGTCCTTTAACTGTCTTTTAGGTAAAAACCCACACTGATCCTCATGAATAAATTCTTGCAAAATTATTTTCAGTTTATCAGCCAGAATCATTGTGAACAACTGGTGGTCATGATTCAATAATAGTTTATAGTTTCTTGTTAAAGTCACGTCTTGGTATTAATGCTGTATTGGCCTCTTTCCAACTCTCTGTCATTTTTCCTCCCTGTAAGACAGAGTTCATTGTGTTTTGTAAAGGTTGTAAAAGTTCATCCTCAAAACATTTATAAGAACCTGATAATCAATCTGGTCCAGGCACCTTTCCTGGTTTAATCTTTTTTGTAGCTTCAGAAACTTCCCTTATTGTTACAGGTCGCTTCATAATCTGTCTCTGTTCCTCTGTAATCCTTGGTAAAGTTTTCCATAATGGCATTAGAAGGAAAAACTTTGGCATAAATGTCCAGGACAATGACTGGGCCTACTCCTCACCCCCAATTTTGAAATCAGTGAAGTGATACACATTATCATCCTAGGACTCAAAACCAAAGATTACCTAAACTCACTAAATAAGAGCAGCAAATAAAACCCAAATATTTTATTACATCTCTTTTTGCTATCCCTCATTGATTCTGCCAATAAGATAAATCTGATCATAAGCTTTATTCTCAAATATGGAATCTTTTGATCCCATGTCTTCATGACAGAACAGGCAAGGAATAATAATTTAATTTCCAACTTCTTCATATTTAAAGCAGAAATGGTGAATAATGAAGTAGGATGGATAATCCTGGATCATCTTGGATAATCTTTGTCAAAATGGATAATCTTTGTCAAAAATTCTGGTATCTTACATTTAAATCAGCCAACAAAGAGCAAAAAGAACTATACTGAATGAAGGTCATGCTTTCAGGATCATGGAGGCTTATGGGAGCAGTATTCCTATTTTACAAGTAGGAGGAACAAAGAAAGTAAGAAATAAAGACTTTCAGATACTTATGAAAAAATATTTAGAAGTCAGATAAATATAAATATCTGAAGTCATATATTCAGTTTGCTTTTTACATTTTACTGTTTGCAAATAGGTACGTGCAGAATGTGCTACAGTTGTAATAGCACATGCATATTATTATATAATATGGATATTATTATTATGCATATGTCTATTTTATTGTGCTGATACAGGTCAGAAATCTGCTGTTGGAAACAACTCCTTGGTATCTAAGGCATATGATCAGCAAACAAAGTATTTATGTAGTCAAATAGATTTATGTCATCTTCACAGATTAAAATGTAGCTAACTGTAGGCTTTTCTTACACATCCAAACAGATATAACAACACATGTGAAAAAATAGCAATGGAATCTAATACATAAAATTAAGTAATCTGAGATTGTAATATGCTTGTGATTCATTGCTTAGACTAGGTTCCCTTTGTTTTTGTTTTTGCTTTATTTATGGTTTTCCATTATTTTAACCAGTCACTACTACTGACAAATCTGTCATGATCTTTTCAGGGGCTGCTATATCATAACTGAAACACAAGTATAATTAAGGTTGTTGTTGTTCAGTCATTAAATCATGTCTGACTCTTCGTGACCCCATGAATCATATCACGCCAGGCCTTCCTGTCCTTCACCGCCTCCTGGAGTTTGCTCAGTTTCATGTTCATTGCTTCAGTGATGCTATCTAACCATCTCA